CACCTGAAGTACCTAATCTGATAAATGGGATTTGAGGGTACTTAATATGTCCAAATGAAACACTATCAATGGAAAGGTGCTTGGCTTTTAAGAAGTAATTAAACTGCTATGCAAGGGAGAGATGGCTTTCCAAATATCTGAGTAGTAAAAATTTCCAGCTACTGACTCATGGTGGAGCAGCAACCTCCTTTTACAACTTTGGCATGAGGAATGGGAAGGGGAAAAGCTGGAAATGTTAAGGACTGAAAGGAAAAGAGATAATGAGAGGGAGAACCGTAGCTGAAGACTGGAATTGGAAAAGTCTTCTGAGGTTTGGGAAGGAACTCTGGGTTCCTTCAGTGCTTGATCTGACATGCGCATTTATGTTCGGCATTAGCCTTTGGTTAAAATACATACTTATGGGGGTGGAGGAGAGAGAAAGGAGAGAGGGGAATACCCAACATGCAGACAGACCCTGTGGTGTTAACTGTTACCTTTTGCTCCCTGCAGTGGGTGACCACGGCTACGACAACACTCTCCCCAGCATGCACCCGTTCCTGGCCGCGCGCGGTCCCGCCTTCCGCCGCGGATACACGCACAGCTCCATCAACAACGTGGACATCTACCCCATGATGTGCCACATCCTGGGGCTGACGCCACAGCCCCACAACGGCACTCTGGGAAACACCAAGTGCCTGCTGGCTGACCAGTGGTGCGTCAACCTGCCCGAAGCTATTGGGATAGTTATTGGGGCGTTCGTGATCCTGAGTACTTTCACCTGCATCATAGTCATCTCCAAGAACAGAGTCGCCCCGCCAAGGCCCTTTGCCCGGCTACAGCTACAAAGTGATGACGATGAACCTTTAATTGGATAGCGCAGAGGGAGCCCAGCCTCACTTGCTACATTGTGATTTCAGGAAAACAATTTGAACTTGCACTGGATGGCATTCTGTGATGCACTTTATCTGTGTAAAATACTGTACAGCCCGACCTTGCTGACTCGTTTGTGTGTTGCTTGACTAGTGTCCTGTAAAAATATTTTCAGAACAAAACAATGAACTGGTGGCTTTTCAGTAGAAGAGATGCTTAACAAAATAAAGATACTTATTTTTTCATTCACTTTCAGAAGGAAATTTCAGAGTATGACTAGGCAGGACAGACTAAGTGAATTTTAATATTTTTGTATTAAATTTCAATTAATATTGACTTATTTTAGTGTTCTTGTACCTGTGTTGGAAAGGAGATCTTTTTTATGAGAGCTAGTGGTTAGTTTTGTTTGCAGAGTATGTTCTGGTTTGCCATTAAATTTGGGGATAGGGGGTATAGGGAAGATCCAAGACTTCTGTTTCTACCCCAAGGCAGCAATATGACAAGAAATTGCTGAGAAAGAAAATGGAGGTCAGTGAGGAAAGAATTGGTGCATATCACTTCTATTTTGAGCAATAAACCATGTGATTCAGCAGTTACAACACTGGACAGGTGGCTCTGACATCTCTGGACATGTGTCTGTGGGTGACTTAGATCCACAGTTCCAGTTGCGATGGCACTGCTGCCTTATCTCAAGGATGTCAGTTTAATCTGAGAATCTCTGAATTACCCAGTTTCATGGGCTGTAGGTGTAAAATTAATGCTTCTAAATCCTGTGGAAAGTTTCTCAGGTGTAAACTCTGCCGAAGGTGTTTTTGTAATAAAGGCGGTTCTGCCCTGTGCACCAGCTGATATTTGTCTTTTGAAGGCTGTCATGCTATAAAGCAACAATTGAAAGTTTGATGTGCAGTCATCAAACAAGTCTTCCAAACTCTTATTTTAACCCTGGAAATTTAAGGGGAAAAAACAGATCCCAAAAAATAAATACTCTATAGCATTTGAGGTGTATAGATGCAGATTTGAGGTATATAGACCAGTGCTAATGGTTCTCTTAATTGAAACTTGATTCTTTGTTAATGGTCAGGTTGTAACTTGATATTAAAATTTGATGTAGAAAGCCTTAACTGATACCTAATCTTTCAGTGAGGAGAGGATGCGAGGTTAAATTGTTAATGCTAACCCAAGAGAACTATGGTTACCGAGTCCTTTTCCTACAACTTTGATGGTTTTTAAAAATAATTTGAAGTGACAGAGGTACATGGTAGTGTGCAATGCGGTTTCTCTTTCACAAGCTCCAGTGCAATGCCGTTTGGTATTGGCCACAGATTGCCTTTTAGTGATGCAGCCTGGAGAGGGCAGGGACTTTGGAGGGAAGGGCTGCTATTAACTGTCCACTGAAAAAAAAATACATTGGAGATTTAGAAATGTGTGGAAGCTTTACTACTTTGTGTCTTCCTCTCTGGGTATTCTGTTGTACTGATTAAAAACACAGTCCACAATGTAACCAGTTCTGTTTTTTCCCCCCCTTCTTAAACTGCTTGTTCCTACTTACTAATGTATTACTGTGGATTAATCTGAACTTGAAAGAGGCTCAGGCCCCTTGAAAGTGTGTGCTGTTACTGACAGGGTACTGGATTTTAACCTGTTGCTATCCTAGGGCAGTAGCTGGACTGAGCACAGAGTCACTTTCTCATCCTGCCTGAAGTTTAAACTAATTAATTACAGGGCACCAAGAGGTCAAGTTAATGAGTAACTACAGAGGGAATGTTTTGCAGGGTAGGACTCAGGCTTGGATATGCTGTAAAAGGGAGGACACTGGAGAAAGCTGTTTGTTAGGTTCTCACAGTTCTGCTGATACAGGCTGGGATCCTCAGAAAGTGGTGGAATTACTGGGAGACGCTTTGCATCATCTGTGTTTAGAAAGGCTTGAGTAGACTGAATTATCTTTCCAGCAGATTTGGTCAGACCAAACTGTACTGTCTCTACATGCAAGTTCTGGCTTCTTTTTTTTCCTAGAAGCTAAACCTGATGTAACACAGTATTTGTTCCACTCGTTGGTTCTCCCCCTTCTCTGCCCTCCCCCCAGCTGTTGTCACACAGCCTGTGATGGATGTGCTCTCAGTTCCTCTGTGCATCCCCTCACAGGCAGGTGGCAAAGTTTCCACCAAGATTTTAATGGCCAGAAATGTAAATGCTGACTGAAGTGTGATCTGAAATAGGAGTGTTGTTACAGATGGGGAAATCAAGGTCCAAGTGCATTTCTCCTTCTCTAGGCAGCTCTAGGCAGAAGCTCTAGGCAGCCCCTTCTGATGAGAATTGCTACAGGCGACTGAGCTGCTGTGAAACCAGACAGTGAGTGGCTGTATTGAGTGGAAATGCCTAGCACCCTCTACTCCTCCTCCCTTAGCATGGAGACTGAACAGTACTACTGTGGGAAGGGCTTAAAGAGGAAATTTAAGCATTAACAAATAGGGTAAGCTGTATTCCAGTGGCATTGCTGATTATTTTCATTTCCAAAGATGTGGTGTGGTCTGTAACAGTTCTGAGTATTCTTCCTGGTACAACGCGTTTCAGAGTCGCTCTTGTACATCCAGGATTTCATACAGATCATGTACAAACCAAGAGAATCTACAAAAACACCTCCTTGTCCTTAAGACACAAAGTTGATTTATTTAAAGATGATTATTTTTTGAAATTCTGACAACATACTTCAACTGCCTCATTACAGTTAGTTTTCTATTTCTCATGAAAGCTGTTTCTTCCCAAGAGCCAGCTCAGAATAAGAACAGCAAAGTTGTGGGTTCTGCTTCCTCAGAGCTGCGATAAAGGGGCGACAATTTGTGGCAACAGTTAATGACTTGCTAAATAGACAAAACTCGGCAGTGTTCATATAGGGCATGTTCATTCAGGGGATGTTCCTAACACTTAAATGCAATGAAGTTTAGAAGGGGGTGGGGGATGTTTGTAGCCACAGTCCTGCAGTGAAAGCTCCTGTTTCATTATGTTGACTGCCTCTGTAAGGGGACTCTCAACAGTGGGTACAGAAGCCCTAAAATATCCACCCCTCTGGGGTTCTGCACTTTTTTGGCCATTAGCATCAAGGAAACAGTTCCAGAATTGAGCTCTGAAACCCTGGTTTCAGGGGCAAGTTTTAACTTGCTGCTTACGCACTACCTATGAAAATAAAGCAACATCACGTATCTCCAAGGATCAGGCCACAGGGACAGATGTTTGCTCTAACATGCATGGTAGCATTTTTTATTGCAAAAAAAAAAAAACAGTAGTGGAGGTTTGTTAATAGGATTCAGATTAGGATTTCATTATGGAAAGGCTGATAGTGCTATTGGACTTTTCACGTGTTTGCAACAATTTTTGTAGCCTCCTGACTAATAAATGTTTACACCACTCTTACTGTAGGACAAACATGCCATGAAAGGTTTGGACAGCAGCACGAGTATGGTCAACACAAAATCCTTTGCCATTATTTAAGCAGGGAAGAAGAATGGGAAGTAACCCTGTTAAATTTGCATTTTACAAAACAGCAGGACCCAACCACTGCACAGTTTGTTCTTCTTCCACATTTAGCTCGTGTTGTTCACACTTCTGACAGGTCCCTGCCCATGGCAGGGGGGACAGCTGAAAACAACCCAAACCATTCTATGATTGTTTGAAAAGTCAGGCTGCACAACCCTTCATCCTACAACAGGCTTGGCAGTGCTGGGTTAATGGTTGGACCCTTGTTGTAGAAGACTTTACCAACCTAAACAATTTTATGGATCTGATTTTTCTGCCTTTTTTTTAATTATTATTTTTCTTGAGACTCCATTTCTTGTAGCAGCAGTATTGCAGGTCTTTACCAAGAAAGTCTGGAAGACTTTTTTGGTAAAAGAAACTGTATTCCCACCATTGGTAACTGATAGCTGGTTTTTTCCATATACAGCAGCAAGGCAGGAAATGAGATCTATTATAAAAGAACTTTCACTTAAGCTTTCTAAGTTCTATCATACTTCCAGCTATTCTTAATAAAGGCATACACTATGCAGAGTCCAAGACATATTTGGGATGCAGAAGTTAAGGCCATTTCCACCCAGTCACTACCTCCCCTTCAGCTTTGTTTACCCAAAGCATTTTTAAATTAAGCCAGCACTCCATGCTTGGGACGACTTACAGGAAAGATTTATTTCAACTCCAGCAGTTCCAAACGCGAAGAAACAAAGAAAACATTTGACATCTGTATGCTTCACAGGTCAGTAATGAAACACAACATCATGCATCACTCTTGGTTTCCAAGTTTAAGTTACAAGCAGTACACAGTGTACCCAAATCCAGTGTCCAATAAACTTGTTTGCACATCATAGAAAGTATCATATACAAAGAAACCAAATCCCACGTCCTCCTTACCCAAAAAGATAGTCTGACAAAATGTCACATCAGAGAAAAAGTTGCTGTGCTTTCATCATCTGTGCTTTCAATTTCATTAATCTCACACCCAACAACTTAAAATTGTGTTTGACACCAGCTGGGCAAATACACTAACAAGGAACTACCCAAAAGGTACCTGCAAATACTCCAAAGAACAAAGGAAATGTTTAGCCCTAAACTGAAATACCCAAATGCTACAAGATTCCTTTCATTGTTTTTACAGTTTTATTTTACCCTCCTCAAAGAAGGGCCTCACAGTGCAATACAGAACAATGACACAGACAATTCTCACATCCATGTCCCCAAATTATTTTGAGTATTATTGTTCCCAAAGCCTTAGTCAGGGAAACTTACTGCTCTTCCCACATTTGAGCAGGTAAATTTAAGTCCAGGATGACTGAACAACACTGACCAACTTTGGCCCCTCCTTAAAATCAAGAGTTACTTTGGCTGATGACAGAACTCTACACCTGCCACAATTAAAGCAGGGGTTTAATGAACAACTCTGAGATTACAACCCAGTTATTTTCACATCTGCCATGATTACTGCTATGAAACTGCTGAAGTAAGAAGAATTTCTATTAAAGCAGCATGTTCCAAAGTGCATAATTGCAGTAGCTACAAGAGAGTGTTATGGCATCTCCAATTGCCACTGTTATTGCCTTATCCAAGCCTGTAGACCTTTCCTTAAACACACACTAAGTTTGTGCCACAATTCATTTTGAAGTTGCAAATCAGCAAGAAAAATTGGATTCAATGCATCAATTTGCTATTTGCCATCCACTTTTCGGAAGGTAGGTAGGGGAGGGATTAGTAACAATTCAAGAGGTTCAGGTTTTCTGCTTGGAATTCCCCAGTCTCTGAATACTCCTGTGAACACCTTTGCCTTTCAGCTTGACAAGCCCCTGCAACACTCAGTTTTACCTGACATCAGCAAATTAAAACTAAGGCATGGCTATTGGCCAGCTCCACTAAGAATCAGCTTTACAGACCTTTTCCTTGAGTGTTTTCTTAAGAAAATGGCAATACAGGAAAACAAGACAGTTCACAGCACAGCAACAGCACTGAGTCAGATAAGTTCACAAGATTTCATGTATCTCCCCAAACTGAGAGCTGTCTCCCAACAGATCTGCATGTTTCCTGCCTTCCTAAAGCTACCATTACAGCTAAACTTTCAGCATATCCTTTAAATTGGATTATTTCACTGCATTCCCTCTCAAGCATTTGCTGCACCCAGGTGTGGCCTCTGGAAATGCCCACATCTGTCTGCAAGACAGGCTGGTGCTAAGCAAATGTCCCTGCCACCACAGAGGAACCCAACAGATCTTCATTAAGGCTGGAATTTAGTCCAGCAAAACGAGTTCTGTACTCCAAACCCTCTCCTGGCAGTACTGACTGTCAGTCACGCTGTTTCTTTGGCAGAGCACAACCAAAGCCGAAGTGTTCCCATCCTTGCCCTCTGCTGGGGGCTGTGGATACAGCTATAAATTGCACTTAAAAATACTCAGTCTGCTATTTCTGCATGAATTTTAAAAGTTTACTTTTCCTTCAGGCATTGTACTCAGCATCAAAGTGATGAGAAATACCATCTCACAGAGGGAGAAGGGGAAAACTCTGACAATGAGACAACTTTTCTCACTTCAGACCATTTTTTTTCACACAAACCTTAGTCAGCAGCTTCTCACCTACCATTTAAGTGAGCTCACAAAAAACCCCTCAACTACACTAGCAAGAAGATTTATTGCCACACACAAAAGGATCAGAATAATATGTAGCTTTGTTGACTCAGAACTAATATATTTCCCTGACAGAGGCTTTCCTCCAGAAGAACAAACTCCAGTCTTACACCTTTTTTTTTAGTATTAAAGTGTGCTTGTTCAGGTTTAAGAGCATATATGGCTTAAGATTTATATGGCTGCTCCATAAATTGCAACTCTAATCCTGCTCATCCAATTCTAAGGCCCACCAGGCACAGCAGATAAAGCACAAGTCAAACTCACACTAACGCAGAGTCTCCGATAACAGGTCAGATGAACAGCCAGGAACGGAACTCTGAAACCAGCCTGAACATTCATGTTCCTTAACTGACTCATCTCCCTTAGTCTGAAAGAACCTTCTTATCACAGAAATATAAAAGACTCCATTTGGATATACAGGTGCAGTGCTTTTAAGTGTCTTTATCCTGCCAGCTGTGTGGAACTTCTAGAAAATTTAGTCCAGTGTACAGGAAATAAAAAAAAAGTGAAGACCTACATTTACTTAAAATCATACGTCAAATGGTAAAGACCTGTATTTACCGAAATAATTTTTTTAAAAGATTAAGAATCAAGCAGTTTAATACTGATTGCTGAAGGCAATACCACTTAGATTCATATTGAGGCTACAATTAACAAAGTAGTTTGAAGAAAGATGCCTAACTCTAAATGTAGACACTTAGCACTCATGACCTAGCTGAATAATAATGTTGTTTTCCACAGGATTTTACCAACCAAGCTGTCTGTAACGGTGATCAAGAGTTTCCTAGGGCATGGATGGAAAAAAACCCCAAAGACGTTTAGTCCCATTCAGTGACTTGTGAGAATAGAAGAGACTCAAAAAGCCTTTCAAGGAACAAAAAAACAACAACAAAAAAAAGAGGGTGGGAAATGAAATCACCATTTAATAGTCTGTGAAATGCACCTCAGCTGATGTTATTTACCTAAAAACAGCTATAATAAGGTATTTGAGGTCTGTTGTCACTACATGTCTACATACATAAACAGCTTTCCAGGTTTACCTACAATATCTTTGACCCCTGGAAGATGAAGTGGCTGCAGGGTTAAACAGGAACATGCTCTTTCTCTGCATCCCTGGTCTGTACGTGCCCCAGAGTACAATGGATCAGCATGCACCTCCTTTTACTCCAGATATTTATGCTGATCCACCTCTTATTACTTATTTTCTCTGCATATGCTTATTTCAAGCCTCAAACAGGAAATAATCCCAAGTGTTAATGATCTTGCAGCAATGGCTGGGCAACATCAGTGTGTAGGATGTGCATGGAATTTGCCTGGGCAAGGACAAAATGCTTAACAAAAACGGCAGTAAAAACCAGAACAAGCAAACTGCCCAGGAAGACTCCTATGACTGTGGAATAGGTGTCTGCTCCAAAGGTTCCAGGAACTTCAGCAAGGATGTCTTTCACAGAGTCGAAGGAGCCGTTGTTTGGCAGAGGGTCAATACGAAGCAGATGACACAGCAAGGGATACAAGTCCGTAGCATTCATGACTTCTTTGGTGGCATTCTTTCTGAAAGCAGGCCCAACTGCCACAAAAATGGGATGCATTTCTGGTATGATGTTGTCATACCCGTGGTTACCAACTGGAAATGAAAGATAGAGAAAGGTCAATATTCTTAAGTTGCAAAACGAGCACTGAACCCTTTCCTAGAATTAGCACAGCCATCAGTTATTCTTGCGAAGCTTTAGAAGAATTCTTTTGATCCATTTGTCTCCTAGCAAATACGAAGTCTTAGAACTACAAAAAGAAAATGGCTTTAAAAAAAACAACAATGGAGAGCACTATTTGAAAAAAAACGAGAAAGAGCTAAAAAAAAGCGTAAGCTCACATGGCAGTAACCACTGTCAATGACACGCTACCTACAGCCAACTTTCCTTGATTTTTCTCAAGGAAAAGCTCCAGCTTTGCAACTGGCCCAGATCAATTAGAGAAAAAAAAAGTAGAGACAGATTGTCCATTTGACTCCAAGTTTGACACTCTGTCCAGTTTTGTGCACTATCAAATCATCAACAAGGAAAAGACCTCACTACTGGGTCTCCAGCGCCCAGAAAACGTTTCTGTATTTCCAACCCAGCCTTCTCTAGTAAATAAGTAGTACATGATAAAACAACCCTATTCACCCTCTACTCAACAAATTCAGTTACAACTTTCTTTTTTAATCTCTCAGGAAGTGCTTGTCAGTTTGCTACATCCTGAAAGACCTCAAGTATGAGGCCACTAAAACGTGACTGATCTTATCTCAGAAAGTCTAATGTTTAAAGAAACGCTAAATGCGGATTCCCCTCCTCTAATAGTAGGGTGCTTCCCATCCCACCAGGGGGAAAAAACCAGAAATTCTACACACTTCAGTTTTCCCTCACAGTTTTAATAAAAAATAAAAAATGAACATAGGCTGAGACTGAGAGAGGAAGTACAACGTGAGGTCCCTGACTAGGAAGATACAGCAAACCACCGTAAAGACAGGATACTTACACAGAAACCTATCAGACTTATTATGTACAATTTCCCATCCTTTATCAGCCACTGCTAAAATGGGCTGAATTTTACTGTTGTGTTTGTAATGCCATCTATCTGGAATCTGCTCTTTTTTATATACAGTCATGTTGGGATGAGCATTGGCCAAAGCTTCGTATACTTCATCCAGCTTGCCTTTAAATAAACAAAAGAGACAAAAGACAAAAATTAAACATATCAACATGTTTACTGAACTAATCAGTAGGTTAAATACAGCTGAAAGAAGAGGATAAAATGCACTTCCCCCCCAGTGAAGTGAATTTAATATAATTCATAAAGTTAATTCTAGCTGTAGCAGACAATGTGTACACATATGTTACTGTGAGAAATCCAGAGGATCATTCATGGTAAGATCCCACCTGACACCAGACTTCACAGCCTGTTCCCAAGCAGTAAGTGCCCTGCTAATTTTAGAAAAATCCCTCATTTCATAGTTGTCAGAATGTAAGCTTCTCACAGGAATGAGCTAGAAGGCATTCAGTTAAGTCCCATGGAAAAGGAACCAACCCCTCCTAGCTCCATGCAAAGCCTGAAAGCAAGGAGATAGCTCCTAAACCTGTTCACCAGGTAATGGGGGCATTCAGGCCATATTCTGTCTGTCCCCCAGCTGGCTGTGATGACAAGTGACACTTTTTATTAATTTTATTTATTTTAAAGCAGTCTCATTGTTAGCTGCTTTCCTTTAAAAGGGGAAAGAGAGAAGCTACTTTGTTTCTTGGCGTTGCTGAATCATCCGAAGCAGGGAACACACAACAAGCACACCAAGGGACAGGCTGGAATGGCAGATGAAGGTGGAACTTTTGGTCTAGAACTGTCAGCCAACTGTATTCAGTAACAGCCAACAGCATGAGCTGCTTCTCTGTATTCCCAGAGCCAGCTCCTTTCCCTTCCTTAGTCACAGTGAGTGCAAACCCTCAAGCCCTGTACTAACACCACTGAATAAATAAGCATTTCCCACCCCCAATTCTTTAGTTGCTTATTTCCAGTTTCTGAGCTTGTCTTTCCAGTAAAAGTCACTTAAGAGCCACAACCAGTTGGACAAGCTGGAACATCAGTGCACAGACAGGAGGAACCAGAACACAGAGACAGAAGCACAAAAACAAGTTCAGGAATTGCCACCTGAGCAAAGTTCTTCAATCCTCCCCCTCCATTTGAGGAAAGATTCCTACTAAGGGCTATGAATTGCACACAACAGACTTCTGTGAAATAACAAATCCCTCGGTTCCATGACTTAGGTAAGTACTTTGTGCACAATCCAGTGGGGCAGCTGAGTGCACAGGGTCTCTGCAGGCCCATTTCAGTGACCATTTACAGCCTACGTGGAGTTTCGAATGTATCTCAGGGAAAAAAAGGTTGGGAGGAGGTGCCCAATGTCTCTAAAGAAACCATGTTCATTTTCCCCCTCAGTTCCTAGAATTCAGTATAGAAATTGTGAAGGAAAACTGGAAATACATTGATGTACAATGTTTCTTATCTCAAACTGGCATAAAAGCTTGAGAAACACAATAGAGGTCAAGATGAGACAGCAAAAATGCTGATAGAGTTCCAGCAACAAGGGACTCCAATATATCATTTCTAGGACTATACTAATAATAAAGTTAATATTGTTATGCCACTTTTCTATGTGGGATGGCAGACAGGAGAAGCCCCAAACACAGCAAACTATGATTTCACACTAAATTAATTACTTTAATTATTTATAGTAAATTCAAGAAAAAAAGCCAGCATCAGCAGCTGTGCTACAGGTACCTTCTTTGCAAACATATTATTAGTTCCCCACATGCACTAATACACCAGCATGGTTAAATAATGGCTTTAATCCATCTCTCGGGGAAGAAATATGCAGCCAGTTAAACTAAAAGAAATTGCTGCATTTTTAAGCATTCAAACTTTTCCTCAATGTGGAAGTTTTACCATTCTCTTGGTTTAAGCAAGACAAATGGAATAACAAACAGGTGAAGAATCAGTGTTATGTACTTAAGTATATGTTAGTTCATAGCTTAACTGACAATGAAGCTCATTGTTTTATAATAAAAATCATCCATGGAAACACAGAAAGAAGGAATTTTAGCTGTGCTCAAAACTCAATTCTTGTTTACTGGTAATGTAATAAATACCTGAACCTCTGGGCAAAACCAAATCCAAGCTATTTCTGAAATCCACTGAAATGGCTTTTTTACTATTCTGTCATCCGACTGCTGCCTAGATACTGTTTCTTCTCAGCATTTAGCAGACAGGAGAATCAAGTTACACATCTGCAGGTTCTCATTTACTGCATAGGGATGTTTCAGCACCAAAGTTTACTTTTACAGCCTCTTTACTTGCTTATGAGAACATCCTGCTCAGCCATGTTGATCTTTATGAGGATGGAGCTCCCAAACGTGGCTTTTTAATCAGCACTGAGGGAAACAGCATGCTCAGGCAGCGATGATCTCAGTTTGGACATACTAACAATTCAGTCTGGAGTATTCATCAAATTAAAAATGACAAGAGACTTGTTTGCACATAAAAGTCTGCAACATCCCCTCCCTACTGGGACATTTAAATACAGAGTGCTATCCATCAATGATGCAAATTTTACAGAATTCTTAAAAAACACCTTTTCAGAAGGCCATCTTAAAACTCAACTTCCAAATCAGCAATTTTTTGCGTGGGCAGGGTTGCTATTTTTCAGGTTAACACATTTGCACCAAATACTTATAGCACTTGATCATCAAAATAAAGAGCAACATCTCTGTATTAGTGACACTAAACATCAGCTGACACTTCAGCAACCCTTCAATGACTGCAACCAGATTCAGATTTTGATTCCAACAATATTCTTGCTCATCATCACAATGAAAACAGTATGAACATAAGTGGCTGGCTGTTCAGCATAACAGGAACAAAACTAGTGAACTACAATAGCTGGCAGCTAATCAAATAGCCAACACAGGCTTTCTTTTTATCAAAGGACCTCATCTGGTTTCAGTTTAACTCTGTTTGAGTTAGAAATATAATTCTTCCACTATGGCTTCAGCACCTTGATGAAAGGCAAGATGCGTAACACTCAGGTGTTACCTATCTAGAACGCCATTCAGCCTTGATAATGCCATTATATCATCTTACTTCTCACAAAGACTGAAGGATCTTTGGCAACATTAGTCAACAAAAGATAGATTTGCTCCCTTTTCATTTTAGAAAATTAATCCCAGCTTTTGACTGAGATACCAAAAAGAATAAAGAAATGATCCTGCAAGTACTCCTTGTTCAAGGCTGCTGTCCTACTGGCATCAGCGCTACTACCACCGCTTCAGTTAGAGAATGATGTCTATAAAGTTTGAATACTCAAGTATCTCTTCAGACAATTTCACTGCTATAGCTCCTACCTTCTTTTGGCAAAATGGCTACTGCAGGAGAATGGTCAATGACTTCATAGAGCTCTCTGTCCACGTACTGATCAAGCTCAATGACCCTCTCCGAAGACAACTGCGACATCCCGTGATCACTGGTGATTATGACATTTATCACATCCCACAGCTTCGCTGCCTTCAGCTTGGAGATGAGATATCCCAGTTTGCTGTCAATATCACTAATTACCGGTCCCATAAGTGGGTTGTCCGGGCCCAGAAAATGTCCCATCTCATCGGGCTGTTCCCAGTACAGGAGACCAAAGTTTATGGGGTTTTTTGATGTAAACCACTCAATAAGCTTGGCAACTCTGTCTTCAAAGGGAACGGTTTCATTGTAGGGCATGTAATGTGTGGGCAAGACTCCATGTATTTTCACGTCTGTCCCAGGCCACATGGCTGCGCCGGATCTGTGTCCTCTCCTCTGGTTCGTTACCCATATGGGGCTGGCCTCTTCCCAGAACTTGGGGTTATAGGTATTCATTTTGGTCAGAGAGAAGGTTTCATTCAGAACAGGATCGTACATCTCATTAGCGACAATGCCGTGGCTCTCTGCGTAGAGACCGGTCACCAGGGTGTAATGGTTTGGGTACGTTTTCGTTATGAACACATTGGCGACCTGCTTGACATGAACCCCGTTCTCCATGGCATAATGGAAATTGGGAGTTGGGACTTTATAGATGTAATCCCATCGAAATCCATCAAAAGATACCAGCAGCACCCTGGGCTGGAGACACAGCGCATTTTGAAGAAATAGTAAGAAAATTCCCAGGACTTTCCAATAACAGCTCATGGCTATTCTGGAAGGTGTCTTCTGAGGCAACATGGCATCTGCTGAGCAGAGACAGAAGGTTTGTTTGTGTTAACATGTTTTGTCAAAGTCATAACTTAGTTTTAAGAATGAGTAGCTAAAATATTCCTTATGTATTTATATCTTATGTATTTTACAAGAGCATGGACTGTCAGGACAAGGGGGAATGGCTTTAAACTCACAGAAGGCAGACATTAGGAAGAAATCCTTCACTGTGAGGGTAGTGATACTCTGGCACAGGTTGCCTAGAGAAGCTGTTGATGTCCCATCCCTGGAATTCTTCTCAGCAGGGCTGGACAGCAATCTGGTCTAGTGGAAGCTGTCTCATGGCAAGGTATTGGAAATAGAGGGCCCTTAAGGTCCCTTCCAACCCAAACCATTCTGTGATTCTAATTCTGTTCATACAACTCAAGGATATTGACTACTCCTACCTATGACTGGAATTCCTTAATTAACAACATGACATAATAGGACACATGATTTCACTTTGTATTGGGTTGTGCTCCCCTGCCCCAGTTTCCTTCTGCCCTTCCCAAATACCTTGTTCAAAACTCAGTTATCTACTCAAAGCAAGATCCCTGTAAGAATCCTCACATGAGACTTCCCTGTCTGTAACTGACCTAAAATTTCATGCTTATATTCCCCACTTCTTGCTCAACACCATCATTTAACCACTGGATTGCTCAGTCTTGCACCGATACTCCACACAGTTCCCTTTAGGTTCCCATTTTTCAGCAATCCTCTGGTACAAGTCACTACTGAAATTCAGCTGGAAAACAGTGGTTTTGCAACAAATAAAATCATCTTTATATTCAGAGTACATAAATATCCTAGTTAATAGAAAAAGTTATACTGTAACAAACATCTGAATACCACTGCAGTGACGGAATAGGATCCGTCACTCTGGTAGAATACAAGATATTTCACGGGAAGTTTTCCCACTCCAATTCCCCAGTTCCTCTGATTCTTCTCACTTGAAAACAGCACAAGCACTGCTGACTACCCAGAGAGGTTGTGGCTGCCCCATCCCTAGAACTGTTCTCAGCCAGGTTGGACAGGACTTGGAGCAACCTGGTCTAGTGGAAGGTGTCCCTGCCCATGGCAGGAGGTTGAAACTAGATGGGCTTTATGGTCCCTTCCAATCCAAAGTGTTCTGTGATTCTGTGATTTGCAGGCAGTCAAATGTTACACCAAGCTTGTGTGTCTCCCAGAATTAAAATCCAGGCCTTGAGTTCTGTTAAGAATACGCTGACACTTTGGAGACGTAATTCCCCTTTCAGCAAACAGCACAGACCCAAAGGCTGCAGAATCTCCCAGTTCCTCCTGACGGAGGATTTCTTCCAGATGAATGTGAAGAGAGGAAGGGATAACATATTGCTGTGTCCATCTGAACCCCATCTGCCAAATTAAACGTAGCCCTTAAATTTCCCTTGGGGAATGACAAACACGGATTTAAGTACTCTCAAGCCAAATCAAGTCTTTACTTCTGAATTCTACACTGTTAATGATCTCAATGTGACCTATGAGTCTATTATTCTAATTCCTCAACTGCATGCTTTTAATAGATAATAAGCGATGGGTGGTTTGTTGTTTGTTTGGTTGGTTTTTTTTCTCAAGGCCTTCCTATGCCAGTCTTCCCTGGATACAATCCAAACCCATCTACCGACGCGGGGCAATCCAGAACCCCGCACCACAAAGCCCTGGCGACCCGAGGGGCTCTGGGGGAACAAAGACAAAGCCACCGGTCTGCCCACGTCAGGAGATGCCACACGGACACACGGACGGACGGACGGACAGACACCGCGGGCCGCGCTCGGCGGCCGCCGGAGCTCAGCACACGCGAACGCCGAGCCCAGGCCGCCGCTCCCCGCTCGGCAGCCCCCGGCAGCCCGTGTGAGAGCCGGGCTGGAGAACGCCAGGAACCTCCACCCCACGGCCAGCACCCCCCTGTCCGGGGCCGTTCCCCCCGTTACCTGCGGGCCCGCGGAGCAGCGGGTCGGGCTCCGGCACCGCCCCGGGCGCAGCGGCAGCGGCAGCGCCGGGAGTGGCCGCCGGGGCCGTCACTCAGCGCACGCGGGGCGGTGCCGGCCGTGAGGCGGGTCCGGCCGTGAGGGGGTCACGGAGCCACGGAGTGAGAGTTAATTAGCGTGAAAAAGAGCTTTGGGAACGTCGAGAGCAGGCTGTGAGCGAAACGCCACCACGTCAGCTAGGCTACGGCACTATGTGTTTCCTTAAACACCGTCCCTGCAGCACCTCCCTTGGCAGCCCGTCCCCGTGTCTAATCACCCTTTCTGTGAAGAAATTTTTCCTGAGGTCCAGCCTGAGCGCTCCCGGCACAGTTTGAAGCTGTGTCCTCTTGTTCTGTCGCTTGTTTCCTGGGAGACCGACCCTCACCTGGCTACACCTCCCTGTCAGGGAGCTGTAGAGAGTGACAAGGTCCCCCCTGAGCCTCCTCTTGTCCAGGCTGAGCCCGCCCAGCTCCCTCAGCTGTTCCTCACATGGACGTGCACTCCAGACCTTTTCCCCAGCTCCACTGCCCTTCTCTGGACATGCTCCAGCACCTCAATGTCCTTCCTGAAGTGCGGGGCCCAGAACTGGACACAGGATTCGAGGTGCCTCGGCAGTGCCGAGTTAAGAGGGAGAATCCCTGCCCTGGTCCTGCTGCCGACACCATTGCTGACACCGGCCAGGTCCATTGGCCTTCTTGGCCACCTGGGCATCGCTGGCTCCTGTTCAGCTGCTGCCGACCAGCACCCCCAGGGTGAGGTGACCTCAGGGCACTGTTTGCCCACCGTGATGAGGTGGGAGTGGGGCTCACTGGAGTAGCCCTTGTGCAGTTGTCAAGAGGGTGCAGGTTGTAAGGGTGTTGCTTCAGATTGTAAATTAAATAGAAATTAAGTAGAAATAGAGCCTGGGCAGGGCTGGCTGAGCTGTGACCCAACTGTAAAGGTGAGGAGCAAAACTCACTCTCTGGATATCTGCAGGTGCTTCTTCACTTAAAAACAAACAAACCAAAACGTGAAAAATTTTGGTTTTGATTCTGGTAGTTTTCCATCAGCCTTTTTTCTCCTCTTGCGTTCTGAAGCTCTAAATTTCACTAGAAACTGAACTGCTGAAGGGGATAAAAATCCAAGCTGTATTTCCAATTCCCACCTTTCCTAGTTGAGGATCTGTGCTATGTATAGGTCCACAGCCTGTGCTCTGTATGAACACAAATCCCACCCCACTTCACAGCAGTGTTCAAAACCAGTATCCTATTAATGATTCATGGGAACATGCAGCTTATTAATCACTTTATAGCTGGCACTGCCTACCTGGTAAATATGTATGTGTGTGTATATATACCTATATGTACATGTGATACCTTCCTCCCCCTCCCCCTGCTCTAGGAACTGTAGTAGGGGACAAGGTTCTTTTAGTTGTTTTCTTAATGTCTTTTTTTTTCCTCCTTCATTAGGGTTCTGTTACAGGTGTGAACCTGAGACTAGGCCAAGACTGGAAACGCACCTTGCTGCTGTCGTTAGTAGGCTGTGCAGATGTGGCTGTTGTGCACGGGAAACTGAGCTGGATCCCATGTGTAGCACAAAGCTGACATCTCTAGCTGGGTGTCCCTCAACAGCAATGTGCTGTCCCACAGTGTTACTCTCATTAGCTAGGAAAAATTGTGCTCACATTTACTGTTGTTTCGGGTTTGACTTTGGCCTCTCGCTCAGATCTGGAGGTGTGGGGAGCTGCCTCTGCAGTGGCTGGGATCAGTCACTAGAGGGTACAGGTGCACCTGGATTTAAGGAACTGCTCTAAATAGCTGGAAATGATAATATTTGTCTTGGACGCCAGAAATGGCTCAGCTGCTTAACACCGTTACAAAATGAAAACAAAGCACGGACAAGGAGTTTGCTAATTCCACCAAAATGTTTAATACCATAGTAGATTTTCATTGAAGTACAGAGCTAATGTGAATATTTGTACAAAATATGTGGTTAAAAATAGTATTGATTTATAATATATACAGATATGTCACATCTGTGTCAGAAATGCAGACACTCGAATGAAACCATGAGTAATGCTTTTAAATCTACAACAACATACACGAAATATTTCTGCAGCTACCCACATTAGGACAACTTGCCAAACTGACACTTAAGGATCCGTCAGTCGTTACAGATGGCATTTCTCTCAGAAGTTTCTGAACAAGAACTCTGCTCTAAAATGGATTCAAAACATTTACCTTCATTAACCCAACAGTGAAGAGAACACATCTGTGTGACACTAATGTAGACACGACTTCCTCGCACTAGATAAACAATCAGTTACAATAATTTGTTAAACCAAGGCTGATTTTCTGGTGAGAATAATAGAGAAGTTTAATCCTTCTTGCTGGATACTCTTACTGATGTGAGGAAACCCCTGACCCAAATGGGCCCTTAATATAACTCTCAGTTATGTGGATCTGAATCCTGAAGTCTGTCTTAAGGTTCTGAATAGCTTCATTTCTCATTTGAGGCTGCTCACACTTCACAGCTTTCCCAGCCTAACTCCAGCAAGAATCTCACTAACAAACAACCCCGATCTAGGCTTTTGCTGCATCAGGACATATTCCCATATTAAAATCACTCTTGCTGCAGCCTCAGAACCTCTGTGTAGTGACTGAACAAACTGACAGAAGGGGAGAGAGAATTCAGGCTGGTTTGGTTTTTAAAGTTTTCTGAGCATCTCTGCAGTGGAGGCATTTGGGGTTCCTGCCCATCCTATGGGAGTGCTGCTGCTGTTCTGCCTCTAACAGTGCCAGCTTCCCTCCCCTCCAAGCCAAAGCAAATACACTCCACAGTTCAAATAGACCTGTGGGAAAGAGCTTTTACATTTCCTCCCTGGTAACCCTGAATGCTGCAGTTTACAAGTACTTAAAAAAAGAGCACAGCTCATGTTAGAAAAACATCTCCTTTTAAGAGGAGGCTGAAATATTGAAAGCTGCTGTGCTCCCCTAGAAGATGGGTAAACCAGGAAAAGTCATGTTTGGATTTTTTGGGTTGGTTATTTTTGTTTGTTTGTTTGTTTTGCTAGCATAACTAATTAATTCAGGAGCTTTGTGTGAAGGTGAGCATAAATGAGGGTCTAGCTGGGACTTCAGTCCATACCTGGTTTTGATTTTTGGTAGAACAGGACTTAATGTCTTTTCTTAGGCAGATGGGAAGGAAATGCAAAGGTCTTAAATTCACACTGGTATGTGAGAGAAAGCCTGAAGCAGCTGAAAGTTTAGTGGTAAAATGTTTGCCCCTAAAGGAGGACCAATAATAAATTCACTAAAGGATCTTTAGAGGATCTGAAAGCACAGTAACCATAATCAGCCTGCAATCCTCTGGGACACACAGCTCTCTGTCATTCACAGCTGCAGCTCTGAAGCTCATTTCCCAGTGCTGCATCCAGTGCCAAGTAAGATGGAAGAGCCACAACCAGCATGTCAGTAACACAGCAGTAACACAGCATTTGAGCTGGGCCGGATGGAGAACCTCACTGTAGTGGGGAAAGCTCATTTGGTGCTCAAAGTGAAGAATAAACCATGCCTCCTGCATTTCACCTCTAAAGTACTCCAGAAGAAGTTCACTATTACTACTTTTTCTAATAAAACACAGCAGTTAAGGCCTGTGTTTTCCAAAGGAATCAAAGAGCTCATAGTTTACATCTCCAGCAAGATTTCTTAAGCAGATCTAATTTTTGGAATCATGAAACAATCATCCTTTGAGAAACTAAGTCTTTTACGCCAGGCACACAGAAAAAAGAATGTTTTCAAATCCAATATAAGAATTTCACAGGACAGTTATCAGCAAACTCATCTCCCAGTTTCCAGTCCTTTGCAAGATCCAGTACAAACTGATGCAAGAGACAACAAACAATTCATTTCAATTTTTATAAAAATGAATGTTATTAGAACTGTTTCCCCAGCCTGGTTGGCAGCTGGATGCCATGTTCCTTATCCAAGCACTCATGCCCACTGCATCACCCATGATTATAAAAGCATGGTGACAACCACATCAGGGCAGGGACATGCTTTTGCTCACCAGGGACTGTTCCACAGGGTTTTTTTTGTGTGTACCTCAAGCCAGAGCAAGTTCACGTGACTCTGAAACTGCAGCAGCTTAAAATGGAACAAGGCATACCCTGCCAACAAGAAGGCTGCTTTTCCTCTAATTTCTACTGAAACATAGTTTAGCCTATGTCACACATTTAAGCATTTTCAGTTCTACCAGGGGTATACACCACACTACTCAGTTTACTGATATAGTTTAACTCTTTAAAAGTTGCTTTTCCAAACGCCAATGCAAGCAGAACACAAAAATACTGTTTGCCGTATTTATTATTTTAAACTAAGCTCTGAATTATACAAGTGTAAAAGTGATTAATTAGCCAATAGCTTTTTAATAGTCCTATAAAATATGACTAAGTAGAATATTTCAAAAGTATGTACAATGCAATGGAAACGCTCACGGCATCTGTGGCAGTGCTTAGACAAACCACTGGAATCATGTCTTGTGAGGTGGTTCGGTCCATTCCTCGGTACAAACAACAGTCTGTCTTTTTGCAAAAAGCTTTTTCGGTGTTGCTGAATGGGAGGGAGGGGGGAAAAGACCAAAATATAACTAACCCATTCCTCCCACCCAGTTTAGGATCAAATAAATGCTGAACAATTTATCCATGGGGAGAATTTTTAAATTATAAAGCACTTCACAGTACCTATGTCTGGTGTCTTATTATGGTTGAGGAAGGGATGCTCTTGACATGTTTTCTTGCCAAAACCAAAGTGTACTGGAGTGTGTCTGTGTATGTTAGGAATGGGGGTTTGTACTACCTTGTCCTTATTTCAAAAATCAAGACCACAGAAATTCTTTGTTGTTCTCTTTTAAAAGAGGAGATTCCAAAATACCCCTTCTCCATGCACTGGAAATGTTTTCATGCTTTAAACTGTACAGAGGAAGTAATTAAAAGTTCAATTTCATATCTGAAGAGGTCAGAAAGGACAAGCAGGCAGCAGGCAACAGAAACAGCAACTGTACTCCCCTGATTTCCTTCTTTTAATTTCCAAGGAGCAGTGGGAGCACTGTC